GCTGTTGTCGTGCTGTTTGTTGATCCGCCACAAGATGGAGACACAGAGTCACAATATCAAGATCAACGAAAAGAGCAAAGTTAACTGAGGGGGGAGAAGTACGCTGATCTGGCACTGTAGTAAAAGTAGAAGTACTCAGATCTTGTACTTGAGTAAAAGTAGAAGTACTCAGATCTTGTACTTGAGTAAAAGTAGAAGTACCAGAGTGTAGGAATACTCTGTTTCAGTAAAAGTACTGCATTCAAAATGTTCCTCAAGTGAAAGTATAAAAGTATGATCATCAAAATATAGTGAAAGTAGCGACAGTAAAAGTAGTCGTTGTGCAGATTGGTCCATTTCAGAATAATATATATGATATGTTTTATAATGATTGATCATGAAAGTGTTCTCAAAGCTGGTAAAGGTGCAGCTAGTCTGAAGGACTTTGTAGACTGCAGGGTAGTGATATGTTGGTAATGTGAAGGATTGTCTCCTGCAGCCTCCTCCATCACTGACAGCAGGCTCTTGTATAGCTGCGTCTAGTTGTAAATAAAGAACGTACTTCCAGGAAATATATGCTTAATTATGAATACAAATTTCTCATTGTTTTAATTTTGATGTAATTCTTTTATGTTCTCAGTTTCTAAATTAGCAACCTATAGATTAAGTAGTAATATGTTTTCAAGGCAAGACAGAACAACATCCAATAACTTGAGAAACCTTTTAAATGAACTTACAGGTTGAATGAAAGTCAATGTACCAGTGTCCAGCTCAAACATTTATTTAGAAATATCATGGCACAAGTCGCGACCTGCTCGATTTATTTTTAAAAAATGAACACATTTCATGAATTGTCCATTGTCTTAGTTTTACTCTATAGTCTTTACTGTATTTACTACCAACACATTGCTTTTGAAAAGACATATTTGGATTTTGCAGTGTATTAATCCAAAAAACAGAAATGAAGTGACAGGAAGAAGCCTCGTGTTTCCTGAAGCCTTGTACAGTGTGTGACGTCATGCTTCTTCTTTCCCCAGAAATGTTTCACTGTCTTCAGTCGTCGAGAGCACTGTCAGAGTGGAGGGTCAGCGGGAGGTAACGGTTTCCTATTACTACTATTTACCACATTGGACTGTAGATGGATTCTTTAACATTGTATTCAAGAAGGCTTACACCTAGAATAGCTAAGCATGGGTTTTCCCTTTATATATGCAGTCTATGGTTTATCACCTTCAGAGAGAAAAGTTGACCAAAGCATTGATAACTTTTTATTTTGTGTGGAAAATGTAAAAGCTTTTGTAGAAATCTAATTGAACCAGGACGAAAAGTAATCTTCATATGAGGAAAGCTGTTTCTTTCAATTTAATTACACGCCATACATATGTCTCACTGTCAGTCACTAACTTTAAGCACCGCCACCTAAAAAGGGGAAGTATTAACAGACAGGAAATGTGTACAATACAAGAGGTTCTCTATGTACGTGGGTGCCAGATACTGTACGCTCAGGATTATGGGGTCATGTTAATGTCTTTCTGTGTGTGTGTGTGTGTGTGTGTGTGTGTGTGTGTGTGTGTGTGTGTTGTGTGTGTGTGTGTGTGTGTGTGTGTGTGTGTGTGTGTTGGTCTGAAACCCTTAGGTATGCTATGAAGATGTTTCCTGCACATCCAATACTTTGGTCCAGTTTGCTGGTTTGTTTTGCCTTACAAATTGGTAGGTAACACGCAGGCACGCTTGACGCACACACATTCTTCCTAAATCATGGAAAATACCCAAAAATGTGGATTAATTAAGCATGGTGCACTTTGAATAAAATATGCCTTCATATGCTGTATAATCTGAAAGGAAATGCATTGATGCTTACATTGGACCACTTGTGTGTGAGGGTCTTTAAAGTTAGAACTTGACCATCCGTTGCCTTTGGTTTCCCCCCCCGTCCTAAACTCCAAACGTATTTACTCCTTTAATAGAGGCGGACATTTCAGATGTCTGTGAGGATACAATGTCTTCTGATAAAGTGAGAATCCATTTTGTTTATATTGTCCAAAGGTAACACACAGGAAAGCCACCCCTTTAATGCAGATGTATTTTCTGATTTCTACATCCTGTTCTTGTTGTTTGTGGTACTTTTTTCAGATTGATGTACAGAGTACTTCAGTGCAGGGGCATGAGGTAGAGCTGGAAAATATAGACCTTACCTGCGTCCTTTACCCAACAAATATACTCAACTGCTCCTGGTCATTCAACACCGTGCAGCAGGATACTCAGCTCTTTGTCAACATCAGGTATTTTTTTAAATGATACATTACACATGCAGCATAGAGAGTATTTATGAATAATTAAAGGCATCCTCACATTCTCTTCTGTTTTCATGCAGCATCTGTGCTGGTAACAAATCAGTTCAGTCTCCTGACCTGTCGTCTGAGGAGAAAGTCGGATCAAGGTCTTTAGCTCTGCATGATCACAAGATGTCACATTTAATCCTACACTTCAACGTCACCCTGCGCGACAACTGGACAGTCTACGACTCCAAATACGACCTCGGCATGCTAGGTAATACAAGACAAACTCTCATTGAGCTCTTGAGTAGGGGGTTCACTTCTAGGGGTCAAAAGGTAACCAATAGGGCAATACCACCATGAAATAAGCTTGATAATGGAGTGACAGGAAAGCTATTGTTGGTTTTTTTCAGTGGATAGTAACATATGGTTGTAAGCTTAGTTGCTAATGGAAATCCGCAGTTCCGCCTGCATTTTTATTAATTATTTTACTAATGTTGTCGTTGTGTGTGCCACAGAGGTCCTGTCTCCACCCCAAAACATCTCTGCATCAATCAAAGATGGAGGTCTATTGGTGACATGGGGTTTTGCCCCAACAGTCGAGCCGACCCCAACCTCAACCCCGACTGCTTTGAATACCAGCTGGACATGGGTGACCAGGTACAGAATACATGTGTGGATATGGATGTCAGTTATTCAATAATGTAGGTTACGCTTCCTATGATGCCTTATAATGCTTGTAAACATACTTCTTATACATAATAATGCTTGTATCACTGGTTGATTATCAAAATAACATTTCACTCCATTAAGCTACACCAGAATGCATTCTACCCACAACCTGTTTTAGGCAAAAGGGTGAATGATATCCAATAAGCCTTTTCCCTAGCTATCTCACAGCACCTGCAGTGCCAACTCTTTCTCTCACACAGTAAGGGCAACAGGTTCTTGATTATGTGACGGAGGATATTTATCAGATCAGTAGACCTCAGTAGGTTTTGAATGATCTGAGTGGGTGAGAGCGCGCACTGAACACCTGTCTTAGTTCATGCTAGTGTGATAGATAATTAGTTTGGAAATGGCAGAACAAGGGCATTAATTCTGATGTATACGTTATTGTTCTTTAATCTTTAGTCTTCTTCTTAATTCTACCATTAGGTTATGTTTTGGCTTGTTTTTTCCATCTGTCCTGTCAACAGGATTAGGGAAGGAATCAGACACTTTGTTTACTTCAGTAACATAGTGACATCACTATGTACACCTCACGCTTCTATTGGTTTAGTGCTCAACACTTGTACGTGACAGGTTAAGGGGTGGTTAATCTCTAAGCGGTTGACCAATCACAACAGAGCCGGCCAGCTAACCAATCAGAGCAGACTGGGCTCTGGTTTCAGACAGAGGGTGAAAGAGGGTGCTGCAGCACAGGCAGTCTGAGAACAATAAAGAGCTTTAGACCATTAAAGCATGGAGACATGTAGAGACACTACATACTGATATACAACCTGAAACATCAGCAGGAGAGGACTCTTTAAAGTAGAGACACTACATACTGATATACACCTGAACATCAGCAGGAGAGGACCTCTTTAAAGTAGAGACACCTACATACTGATATACACCCTGAAACATCAGCAGGAGAGGACTCTTAAAGTATGAGACACTACATACTGATATACACCTGAACATCACAGGAGAGGACTCTTTAAAGTTAGAGACACTACATACTGATATACACCTGAACATCAGCAGAGAGGACTCTTTAAAGTAGAGTCACTACATACTGATATACACCTGAACATCAGCAGGAGAGGACTCTTTAAAGTAGAGACACTACATACTGATATACATCTGAACATCAGCAGGAGAGGACTCTTTAAGTAGAGACCCCTACATACTGATATACACCTGAACATCAGCAGGAGAGGACTCTTTAAAGTAGAGACACTACATACTGATATACACCTGAACATCAGCAGGAGAGGACTCTTTAAAGTAGAGACACTACATACTGATATACACCTGAACATCAGCAGGAGAGGACTCTTTAAAGTAGAGACACTACATACTGATATACACCTGAACATCAGCAGGAGAGGACTCTTTAAAGTAGAGACACTACATACTATATACACCTGAACATCAGCAGGAGAGGACTCTTTAAAGTAGAGACACTACATACTGATATACACCTGAACATCAGCAGGAGAGGACTCTTTAAAGTAGAGACACTACATACTGATATACACCTGAACATCAGCAGGAGAGGACTCTTTAAAGTAGAGACACTACATACTGATATACACCTGAACATCAGCAGGAGAGGACTCTTTAAAGTAGAGACACTACATACTGATATACACCTGAACATCAGCAGGAGAGGACTCTTTAAAGTAGAGACACTACATACTGATATATCACCTGAACATAGCAGGAGAGGACTCTTTAAAGTAGAGACACTACATACTGATATACACTGAACATCAAGCAGGAGAGGACTCTTTAAAGTAGAGACACTACATACTGATATACCACCTTGAACATCAGCAGGAGAGAACTCTTTAAAGTAGAGACACTACATACTGATATACACCTGAACATCAGCAGGAGAGACTCTTTAAAGTAGGACACTACATACTGATATACACCTGAACATCAGCAGGAGAGGACTCTTTAAAGTAGAGACACTACATACTGATATACACCTGATTAACATCAGCAGAGAGAGGACTCATTAAAGTAGAGACA